TCCTTTTCTCTTGCGCCTTATTATACATTCTCTCCACCTTCAGGAGGAATTTTATTCTTATTCTAATAACATAAGGGTACGCACAGTTTCGTATTTTTAACGATTCTCGGCGAGGAAATTTTGTAAAATCCATTTAATAATCTAATTTAAATTCGGGACACGTCGGAAATAAAACAGTAATTACGGTTATGACGAACGTCATTAGGGTAAAATAATGTTCGTTTCTACCTGCCCATTAAATGTTATTACGAATTTCGAAAAAGACGACTGCACAATTACGTGTACGTACGGATGAAAATTCGGTTTAAATTTAGTGAGCCGCATCAATTACTAAATGACAATAATTTCTATTAATTTTTAAATAATAGAATAGGAATATATAAAACTGATAGATTTAAAAGGGTTAAATGATGTTTAATATCACACAGGAAAACTTTGAAGATGGGGGTTTTCGATTTTATATCCTAATTTTGAAATATACTGTGTATCCCATAATAACTACAACCCTTTGCAGTAGATGTAGTAAACATTAACGTAAAATAGCACTTACGTTTGGCAATATTTAATGATGTACTATTGTATTATTTCGAATTTCTATGATGGAAAAAATAAAATTAGAACGGGTTTAATTAGACTGAATCCGGTCCTTGTTTTGACACCTCCGAAGCACTTTGTCAAAAGCGTGTGTTTAGTATGTTGTAGAACGGTTGTTTCGGTCGTCCTCACTTATGTTTCATATTTTAACGTCTCGTTCGTTTCGAAATGATGAATCGCAACCGAATACGAACGAAAAATAAATAGCAAACAGCTGCGTAACTTTATTTTTCCGGTTCAACGTTGAAATCACGCCGAAAGATGTACCAATTTCATTAGCGGCTCGTAGCAAAAGTACGCACGAAACTATACGAGTAACGACAATTCTCACAGCCCTGTTAGAAAGGACTAATTCCCATCCTTCGAGCTTAATAGCTTCCTGTAAAAGAAAACAAGCTCAACAAATTACGAGCATTTGAATATTTATCAGCGCTCTACGACATATCAAACCACTTTGAAGAATGTCGTCGATTAAAACACGAAAAAAAATTGTATCCCGGATGTTCGAAATGCTCGAACCTTGTCCGTTTCGAGCCACTCGAATGCAAATCGGGCTTAATTCCTAATCGGCCCATATTTACTCGAATTAATTTCAATTTCCGATGAATTATTTAGAGGCCACCGAGCCGCGGAAAGTACATAATTGTCGAGCCAAGTATTATTTGAACTAATTTGTTATATTCGATTATCTATTAGATGTTAGTTGAATTTTATTGTATCGTAGGGGACGATCCATAATATTTTTTCACACCATTTTTAGCTTACACATCATATTTGATTTTTTTCATTGTAGGTCCGTACACGCTCGCATAATCCATTAATACCATAATAAACGGGTACGTGGAACATTAGTGCGCCCTTCGTGTAAATTTTAGCATTACATTTGTCTTCCTCGAGACCGATGTTTTTCATCTGCTAAATATGTACGCCTCTTTCTATTTAAAAATATTTGTCACGGCCGTGTCGAACTATTGTACACATATGCGTGTACGAGGCATTCTGCATTTCGAGTTCCAGTTTACGGTATATGGAAGGACCATACCGGCAGCTGGTTTTCCATTGCCCTTTGCTAAGGGATAAAGTGGCATTTTACGCTTTTTACACGGATACTTGGGTTTCGAGAACGTTTGGGTGTGTTGGGATCTCGACAAACCCGGACTAATTATTAGATAGGATTTTTTTTATTTTATTTATGTATAAAAATTGCCGAAGAGTTACTTAAAATTACTGGAATAAAAGAGAAGATTCCTTTAAAAAGTAAGAATACTGTAGATGCAATTCCTTGAGTGTTAATTCTGTGGATAAATGCCATAGCTTGGTATGTTGGATTTATAAATTTTACACGGGGAGAGATGTTTTAACTTTGGATTTACTCTGAAAATTCTGTAATTTACCCAAATTTCTTCAGTAAGATATTGCTTGGTAGTTTTACTGTTAAACTGTTTCTTGAATATTGGAAGAACTTGATGGTATTGGTACCTCAATTTTGACAAAAAAATCGAAACAACAAATTATGGCATCTATCCACAGAATGTATGAACGTTTGGAGGAAAATCATCAGTGTATGTAAATACTCAGGCTACCACCCTGCACCGCCTATTCCGAGATTCATCTATAAAACGGCCGTGACAAATAGGGCGTGCGAGCTCGCGCATCATTCCATCTGTGAAACCGAAAAATGCGTACACCGACAACAATCCGTTTATCATTTCCAACCGCCCGTGCACTATGGAATATGGAATGGTATACACCTAAACGCTAACCGGCGGGCTCTCTTATCCGGACACGAGCGAGTGCATTATTTATGCATCAGAACACGTGTCACTCTCGGAAAAACGGAATGATCATTGCATTTCGCCTATACTTTGATGTTGATTTATTGCGATGCTCCTCCGACGTCGGCCCGGTGAAATATGAAGAAACGACTATAATAAAATGCGCCGTTTATAAATAGTTTATATACCGCGCACGTAATGAAATTGCCGCAGATGTAATGGGGAGACTTTGTTGTTCACTTGTAGCGAAATTTGTTCAATGTATAATAATGTACAAATTACCAGAAAATCGCATTTTTCTAATCCTCAAACGAGCCAAGCTATTTAGCCTAAATATTCCACCAATTTTATTGCTTCAATTTAACTCATTGAAAATGGTAAATTTACTCTAAAACACATCGATTAATGGGTACAAATTTTACTAAATAATAAAATATTTATACTCTAAAAAAGTACTTTTATCAATTATCTCTTCAACTTCTTGATCTTCCATGTAGCAGAGTTCCTTCCTCCCGCGCTTTTTAGCGAACATTAGCGTTGCATAAATTCTGATGCCCTTTCCGAGCAAAATAAATTCGCCGCGGCCTCTTTCAATTCGAAGCGACAGCCCGAAATAAATGACAAACATATTGGGTCGTCATTGTCGCCGTTTCCCAGCTTAACCTCAACCATACAAAAGCCCGCTTGAGGCATTGACTTTCCATTACAGGAACATACGGGGTGTACTTACTTCGATACTCCTTATTCTTTAGTGACCAGTTAGTAATTTTCTTCTTCCAATACAGACATATTATGTTATAATTAAGAGCACATATAAAACAGACTCTGTGCGAAGATACATTTCTTCTATCTAACCATTAATTGAATAGTGAAATAAAATAGGAATTTCTATGGGTGCTTCATACATGTGGTATAGTTAATAAAATATGTACACTCTGTATGGAAGTGTACAGATTGATCTCCCTTGTTAGTAATAGCCTCTAATGGACCCATTGCCATGAAATATGGATGCCATCCCCCCGAGGGTGCAGTTTGGTTAACGCACAAATACCGCCGAAGAATTCCCCAGGCCGTTCGGTCGCCGCAGAAAAGATATTCAATACTAAATAGAGGGTCAATGTATTTTTATATACTTACTTTGTCGGCTAATTTTTGTATATAAATTTCGTTCACTTTAATCTAGCGATAATGTTGTCATAGTTTGTTCAACAATTCATCTCGAGACGTCACCGTTTGATTAAATTGATTGTATACTTTCGAAATGGTAAAATAATGACCAAATCTAATTCGGTCTCGTTAACATAAACCAAAAGTAAACGCCTCTTAATTGTGAAGAATTACGGGCGATTTTTCACCGGCAATTTAAATAGTTGGCGCGTTGAAAGCGCCAATTTATCCGCCTAGATATATCTCATTTCAGACAACCCGAAATATCGTTCTTTTTTTCGAAGCTCTCATTCCCGTCGCAGCTTAGATGACACGGTCTAACAAGTACGAACTGTCGCCGGAAAGTAAATCAAAGAAAAAAAAAACGTTTTCCTCGAACCGTTTGCTCTCTTCCTGCTGGCCCGGCTGGCAGGAAAACGGACGAACGCCCGAAAATGTGGCGGGCGCAGTTTGTCATATTAATATTCAGTAGAGGTGTGATGCATCGCGTTTTCCTTTCGAGATTAAGATATCTCCATCCGACGCTATTTTCAGGTCGGATAATGGGGATTCGTTTGGGGTTATTTAATTTTAAAAATTATAAACTACCAGATGACAACTTCATTAATGTGATGTGAAATATTAGCATCTAACAGTACTAAGAGGTGACTAAAAATGGTATACATAGGTAGATAGAGATACATAATTTTCTTAGATTTTTTGACTCTCTTAGATATATTTATGACTCGCTTAGAGATACATAAACGACTCTTTTAGATAGTTTTTTGACTCTCTAGACACATAAATGACTCTCTTGAATTGAAGATTGATTCTTTTAGGCACATAAATTACTTTTTCCTGATATCTATATCAATATTTGTATGGTATGGTATTTTTATATTGAATTTAATTTTCTCACTGCTCATTGTAAATTAATCAAAAATCCCCTTTAAATATTTACGACAGTTTGCTCAACGCGATTTTTCGCACCGACTGCGCGAATTACTCTCGATTACCACCCCCCGATTGTATTCAAACAATCAATTAACCGCCGAGAGCTCTTCTTTTATATTACTTTAATAAGCGAACAATTGTGGATCTCAATGCAACGGTACTCGGGCGAGTAAGTACGAACCCTTCGGGGTAAACAATGCGATCGGGCGCGGTGAAAAGCCGCGCCGAGAACTCGGCGAGAAAGGCGCCCGCCCCGTGCGGTTTCGCTAATTAAAAAACAATACCAGCGATCGGTTAATAAAGCGACCCGGAAGGAATTGGCAAAGGCGTAGAGGAAATATTTTCCTACCAGCAGGAATTAGATGTTACTTCAATATTTCTATTTACACTTTTTTTATTTAATTGTGATTTATTATATAGGTACAGATTCTAGTATAAGGGATAGAACAAGATACTAGAATAGTAAGTTTAGAACTATAGTAAATGTAAAAACTAGTGTTATATCTGTACATCAGAGTGTCTCAATGATATTGCCTGTGCTAAAAGTATTCCCAGTTTTTGCTTTATTAAAATTTTCATGCCTGCAAGACCTTCTTATGGATGCATCTTTGGTCTTCCTTCCAAGACGAAGGACTTAATTTTCATCAATGCTATTTGATACTCGTTGGTGTTTGGATTTTCATCAGGTAATAGTCCACCTTCTGCGCTGCAGCTACTCTTCGTCATGGTCGAAATTAACCCCTTGGGTACGGCACAGGGATCGTTCGTTCGAGCGTTAATATCGCTCAGACATGTTCATAAACGTGGAAAATTTCAATTCACACTAGTTTCGTCTGCTCCACACCTCCTTTTTACCGAAGAGAATTCAACTCCCCAGACAGCTGTTTGTTTGCTTTTTCGTTCGTTTGTTTGTTTGTTTTAACTCATTTGTCGATTAAACGGAATTAAGAAGGGTTTTAATTAATTCCCGGGGATGAAACCGGGGGATTTTTAATACCGTACGCGTGCATCGCAACCGAGCTTTATAAATATATATTCTAATACCGGATTTATCGTAATGAATCCACGAAAAATAGTGAATTTGTGTGGATAGCGGAGGCATCAATATCATTTAAAGCGGTTTCAATTTCATCGGGATCGAATCGAGCGCGATTAATATCAATTAGTCGGGCAAGCGAACGGGCCGCCTTTCTGATATAATTCGATTGCTCTTGCCGGGGAGCATTAAAAGCCATCCACCCGGGGCGGATGGATATATTAACCGCCGCCGAAGACGCATAATGAAATCAAGCGGCGAATTGCCGCGGCTCCGAATCGGAATAATAACAATAATTCCCCCGGGATGACAATGCGTCGCGAGCGCCATTCGTTTCCATTAGGCCGCGTTCGAATGAGGAGCGTCGCGACGGGGCGTCGCTCGCTGATTAAACGCCGACGACGGGGCGAGCGCCGTCTCTTTCTCGCTCGCGTTTCACGCGGATCGCGGGGTCTTTCTTTTTCGATGCGGCGCGTATTGTGTGTGCGCGTTTTGTGTCCCGGTTTTGCGGTCGATTTTTGTGTTACGTGTATGTTGATGCTAGTTGGCGCTGCGGGACGTCGGCCGGGTTCTTTTCTTTTCTTTCTTTTTTTTTTCATTTTATTATCGGCGGGTGATTCATTTTTATTCGTCCTGTAGGATGTGAAATTGGATGTATACGCGTGCCTTTAAATGATTAAAAAAATCCCATTCATTTTCTCTCGCTTTATGCCACTTTATTCTAATTTTTTGATCCCAAATTAAAAAGTATATTGCATTAACATTTTTGGGACACATATACTAAATTATTCTTATTTTTTTTCTGGTTAATAAATTTCCATTACCTCTCTATTTATATTTAAGCCTCCCTCATTTAGTGCGCATCCACCCCCGCAAAACTACATAATCCGTCTTTATCGAATTACTTGAGTACGCGTATTTGCGACCCTATTTGCCTAACGGGGTTGTCTTCTATTTACTTCCGCAATCGATAAGTTATTGAATAAAATTTGTCATATAAAGCACCCTCGCATTAAGCGAATCATTTTCAAGCTTGTATAGAACCGACCCCTGATGGGGAGTAATTTATTTCGGGTGTCGTTAAGCGTCCCTTATTTTGTTCCCTAGACGTATAGATCATGAAGGGTTGATTTTTCTGAGCGAAATTTGTATGTTTTTGAACATATTGGATGATTAATTTTTTGCGGTGTTATCTCTCAAATTAAGGGTGGATTAAAACAACTCCCTGTACACATTTAAATAGACCCCAGGAGAATCAACTGAATGAATATTTTTTTTATACTTTTCTTGTATTTTTTTTTAATTTTTCGAATCAAATCAATAAATTTGCAGGAGTAATTTCTTCGAGTACTTGGAAATATTCGAATCTGTAAGTAACGTGTAATAAAACAATGAGAATGTATTTGGATTTAAAATTATTATTTTTTTATACTCAACGTGTTCACAAAAGCTCTTAGACAATAATTTACAGATATAGGTACAATTTACAAGAAAATACAGACTCTTTGGCAAAGAGAAACATCTCGCAAATCAATAAATAGGAAAATGATATCGAACTGAAAATTATTCTTGCGTTGGTTTTAGAAAATAAGTTAAGAACAATTTTAGTTGTAAAAAAAAAGATAAGTTTGATATGTTGGACAACAACCGTAAAACACGTTTCTCGTTCACCGATAACTTACACATAATTTTATATTATATATAATATATACAATAAAATAAGCATATGTTAATAAGAAAAATAGTAACAAAGATGTAAATAACACTTGTGCAGTAGGAATGGGGTTTTTTTCCAAATAAATTAGTACGCTTAGAATGGCAACAATATATCATTTTTCCACATACTGTCACAACGTATACAGAATCTCCCAATCAATTTTATACTTAGTATAAATTACAATTCTAGCAATATTGGGACACACTGTATACATCTGCACGTTTTAAGTAAGTCATTTAATTCATTTTACCAACGTTTACACCGCACGAAGTTATTTCGCACAATCTAAATTAGTTCAACCTTACTATTAGGCAGCGTTTACACTGTGCGAATTGGTTTCCCGCAATCTAAACGAGGCTTTAGCGAGCTTTAGGTACACAAATGTTGGTCTTCGTTACTAAATTATAACATCCATCCATTCACATAATTCGCTATGTACAACAAAAAACACTTTTAACAATAAGTATCACTTTTTGGGGGGACAGAAAGGAAAGGGCCGCACGCTAGCGGGGATAGCTGGGATACAACAGCGCAGGGCCCCACCGGCCTCAAACCAGTCCGGGCGGCTTGACGTCGAGTCCCGTCACCATGTCGAGGCCCATGTTGGACGTCGGCGGCGGCGTTTGGTTCATCGACGCCGGCGAATTCACGTTATTAGTTAAATCGCTTTGACTGTTCTCCTCGGAGTCACTACAACTGTCCGAACTGCCCTTCTTGCCGTTGCCGTTGTGGGTTTTGACGTGCTTGGCCAAGTGATCGGACCGCATGAAGCGCTTATTGCAAATGGGACAGGCGAACCGCTTCTCGCCGGTGTGCGTCCGCAGGTGCCTTTGGAGCTCGTCGGACCTGGTGAAGCGCTTGCCGCAGAACAGCCAGTTGCAAACGAAGGGCCTCTCGCCCGTGTGCCATCGCAGATGCGCCTTCAAATGCGACGTTTTGCCGTAGACTTTCCCGCAGCCCGGTATGTGACAACTGTGTATGTTCTTCTTTCGTAAATGGACGCCGGCCGGACCCAGACGCTCGGCTTCCTGGCAATTGGGGCAATCGCACGTCGCCCTGCCGGTATACCTCCGCTGCGATCTCGGCGACGGTACTTGAGGCGGCAGCCCGCCGCTACCGCCGGTAGGCGACGGCGCCGAACCGGCCGGATGTAAACCGAACGAAGTCTGAGCGCCGGGCAACATCGATTTGTAAGTGTCCTGCAGTAAATGTTGACCAGAAGATAGTAGGTGATTGGAGGCGGCTAACGAGTGCGTTAAACTAGAGTAATCCGTCGAGTAATTGGCGGCGGCCATTTGGGCGTGCATGCCGGCGGCGCCGCTCATGTCCAGCCAGCTGCCCGCCGTCGAATGGACGTCCCACCAGGCGTTCGCCGACGTCACCGAATCGCTTTTGATGGCGCCGTGGTGCGTCGCGCCGGACATCGTGTTGAACGGCCACGTCTCGTACGGGTGTCGGGAGTACACCGAGCCCAAGGCGGCGTGGTGCGTCGCGGCGCCCTCCACCTTGCCCAGGATCGAGCTCTGGTGGTGGTGGACGTGCGAATTGTCGGCCACCGCCGGCTGGGTGGTCGCGCCGGGAAAGTACAAATCGCTGCCGTACGAGGCGGTGGTCGGGACGCTGGCGCACGACGTCATCACCGATCTGGCGTAGGTGGTGTTGGAGGCGGACGATCGCTGCGGCGGCATCGAGCTGCTTGAGGATACTCCCGTACCGCCGCCGGGCGACGGGGCTCCTTGGGGGCTCTTCTTCCACGGGTGGAAGCCTTTGCCGACGGCCGCGTCGGCCAGCGGGGGCGGCGATTTGCTCGATAGTTTATTGCACTGGGCCGCGAGCATGGCTAGCGGCGTTCCTCGCAGGCTAGGGTGATCCTGAAACAATAATAAATCGACTTATTAGTACTCGTACTACCGATCTGTTAAGGTGGATTTAGACAGCGCGAATTTGTTTCGTATATGTAAACGCAGCTTTAACCACTAAATATTTTATCGAGTGATTAAGTAGGGTTGCATCGATTGAGCCGTCAAAGGGCCGTGAAATTTCGAGAACGAAATCAATTTTTTTCGGGACAGGAAATGCGGTCGCGTTTGTTTTACATTTTTCGAAATGAATCGACCGCGTAATATATGCTCAAATTCTCGGTAGAACTTCGACATCTGGCGTGTCATTAGTCATTTTTCGATTATTTAGTTCTACGTAACAGTCGGTATGTAATTAATTTGGCGGCAATTTCGAAACGATTAATTTTCATTAATTAGGTTGTCGGGCGTGCGGAAAGAGAGGATAGGTTTTTCGCCCCGGGTCGTTGCGGTTCAGTTTGCAATAGAAAACGAATTGTTTGTTCAAGCGGAATCAATCAAAAATGCGAATATACAGGGACCAGGCTTAAATTTTTAGGTTTATTTTTCATATAATTTTTTGTGTAAATTGTTAAATTTGATGTATATACAGTTAAGCCAATTTATTCCATCCAGGGCCTGATTTTCCATTAGGAAGTGCCGAGAGGAAGTTAGAAAATGGAAAAGAGGCTCCATTGCCTAGGGCCTCAGACAAAGTTAATCCGGTCCTGATAGTTATAAAAATTCAACGGTTTCTATTACCTACGCTTTATACATCGCCTCATTTGAATTTTGGTAATCTAAACTACACAATCGACCTAATAAAACGCGCCGCGCTCGAAAATATATCATTCCCCTCGCCCGGTGTGACGTAAGGAGAGAGATTCGGAGTCCGGTCGGATGCCCGGAAGCGACGCCATTAAATCGAATTCACGAATTTCTCGGTAATAATTACGGAATAAAAAAAAGCGCTTTACGGGGCAGGTAGATAAACGAGCTTCTAATACGGACCGGAGGCGGTTCATTTTCATGCAAATGTTGATTTTGGGTAGAGGAAAGGGGTGGACGGGCGCGGAGCGAGCGGGACACGCGGGGTGGCCGAAAAGGAAATAGAAGTCTGATGGACTTGATTTAGTAGCATGGCCAAACAGCATCCTATTTAATCGCTTTTACAGAGTCGAAACTCCCCGCTAAATATATTATATTAATGGAAAAATTAAACGACTGCAAGCTACCGCTTACAATCTTTTTGTAATTGTATAAAAAATATATTATTTATTGAACTTATTAAGGTTGTGCACCAAACATCATATTTTACTCTATGCGTGTATACATTTATGTTATTAATTATTAATTCAATGGATTATAATAGATACAATCGAAAACAAATTGCTGTAATTGCTTAATTAATTTTTCACCTATTGTACAATTTTTGCGTTGACATGAGTTATTAACGCAAGTACAATAATAAATTACTATAATAAATTATTATCATTGTTGTATCTTGTTAATTTACAAACTCTTTTTATATTAATAATACCTAATACAATTGTACAAGACACAATATTGTCATTGATGTACTTGTAATCCATTATTTTTGTCGATCGAAAACCGGTAGCTCGTTAATAAAAAAATTTAATAAAGGATTCATCCCCATTTTCTCGGACGTTGCGTGGGATAGAAAGACGAGTAGTTGCTTCTGGTATTCTCTTAATATTTATTGCCTACAAATATTAATTATTTCGTAGAACCAAGGGCGTTTTTTTTAATGAGACCGATACGTAGGTAGAGGAGAAGACGCGTTTTGCTCCTGGGAAAAAATATCAAATTAATTATTCGGTTTCGAAAAATTTACATATTTATATGTTGGATTTCTTATTAGTCCAATTTATCGACTGGTTTTGTCTTTACCTTTTTTTATTTATAGACCTTAAAGAGTTATGAGAGTAGGTTTTTTTTTGGAAGCAATAAACGCTTGGACCACCTAATAACTAAATTTAAATTATTACTCAAAACTTTTAGCTATTGCTTACTACATAATAAACTGAGTAGGTGTGCTAATGTAGCAACACCAGAGGGCGCGAAATTCACTCGAACTCTTCACTTAAATCCGGTATAACTTCAAGTCTAATTTGTTTAACTTTTTTATACTTCATTAATAATAAGTTTAATAATAAAAACAAGCAAAGCTTGTCCGGTCGGTTAAAATAAAGTCTATATAGGGTGCATGACTGGGCTTTTTTGAATAACCTGTCAGTGTTTCAATCGGCTGTATAAGAAACAACCTGCATCACTTACGGAACAATGCGGATCAAAGTTTTCAGTAGTCAATTCTTTGATGTTGAACGCCATTATATTAATAAAAGGTAACCTACCTATTCGTGAGATTAATTAGCGGGCGAGATACATCTGCTCAATAATGTCTACAAGTACTTACACTAAAAGATGAAAGGAAACTTTAAAACCCAATTTTGAGATTTATCAATAAAACCGCGGCTTTGCATATTGTAGATAACATTTTAGAAACCTCTTCCGGGCGAATTTAACAAGCGGCCATCATGTGTAGGACGTAACACGTGAATTTCGGTGGTTTTTTTATTCACCCTCGCCAGCTGTCTTGTTAAGTCGACTTTGTATACCAATCAATTTTCCATTATCGTTTTCGAAGGTGTATTTGTAGTTTATTATGGTGTCGGTGGATACATCATTATTAAAAACGCATTTCGCTCGATGTCTTCTAGCACGCACGCACATTGTACCTACACAGTTTATTTGCATAGCATTACTTCGATTTTACTTTTGGTGGAATTCATGTGAGTATGTTTTTATATTGATGTCCCAGATTGTAACTCGCTTTTTTATTTCATCATAACAAACATACACAGCTTTTATAAAGTCTTCTTACTACCCTAAGTATTATAGTAGTTAGGCAACTGGCCTTGCAGGAGTGTTATATGGGTAAAAAGTATTCCTAAGATATTATTGTTGGGGCAATTTTTGTGTGTATGTTTTCATATTGATGTCCTTATTATAATTCGCTTTTTTATTACTTCATAGTCAATTTACAGAGCTTCTATAAAGTCTTTTTATTACCCTGATTATCACAGTGTAGTTAGGCAACTCACCTTGCAGGAGTGTTACATGGATAAAAACTATCTAAGTTGTATGGATGGGGAGTATTTTTAAATTATTTAGTTAAACTAAAAATCGTAGACCCATTACGGAATATAATTCGATAAATTTGCATTATAAAATAATAATTCTATCGACAGAACTGCTCATTTGACGTCTAAATAATTCACAATCACTCCCCAACGGGCCGGCACCGCGCACGATAAATCTCTTTCGAGTGACAATTTTCGTCGCGAAAATAATTAATGATTGTGGGAAATTCGACCGGACGTCGTATTGATTACATGTTTCAATCGTGGATTATCACTTATTCGCAATATGCAATTTATTCCGTCTGCCATGTACTATTTACCGTTTTACGAAACAATAATAAACGAACGAAACCGATACATTTTCAATATTGTTACTGTTAATAATAAATTGTTAATTCGATATGAGGATGCGTGGGTTACGTAACTGATGTTTGAGTCGAATATATACATAAATATTGCAATAGGCGAATTAACATATTTCAATTAGCCGGGTAATTACGTAGGTGTTTCTATATATTTTCTCGTTTTCGTATTTGAATAGGTTCGAATTATGCATGCCGCGTTCGCGGTGCCACGAACGAGGTTATTGTGCTCTTTTTTTTATTTTTCATTCTCTGTTTGTTATTAGTCTGTCGGTCCACAACAAAGTTATTTTCCAAGAGCTGCGGACAGAGCCCCGGGGTACATCCAACCCCCTTTCATTTAACCTCCCAACTTTAGCTCATTAGTTTTCGAGCCAAACACCGTCGTGCATATGCATAATATAGCCGGGTTTAAACGGTAGCCAGGGGTGGACTCGATTTAATTAAAAGACGTGTTTATTATGTAAAAATAAAACGACTATTATTACGCATTCATTGGCGATTAATACAATGTCGTAGGTTTAAATAAAAATGATCAATTAATTGGAATGTTTTGGGATATTTTAGCTTTGTCCGATCCTGCGTTGGAAATTTATTAATTTCAACTTATTAGCGATTCAAGGAATAAATAAAACCGTTCCTTCTACACGCTACCGGCTTTTCTGTGTCAAGAAATAATTGTTTGTCAATCTTAACGTGATGACCTACGGCCGTTTTATAGTTTTTCTTTCGGTTACCTCCTCGACTGGCTACCGTCTGGCCTGTTAATTTTTTCGCGAGCGTATATGCACCGATATTTTTTTATTGCCCTTTTGATTTATTTCAGCTGATAGAACGTGGGCCGGTAGGTCGTTAAGTACATTGTAAAGTTTTATTAGCCTCTCGTTACGGACGAAAAGAGTTATACGCAAAAATAAAAATAAACGAGCGACTTATTGCGCACAGTTTCTCCGTGTGGGCTATACCAGCGGATATAATTGCGGATTTTTTTCTCAGTGTGGGCTATATTAAATTTCGACTGATGTAATGCGCAGTAAATCGGACGCTCGTTAGCCCGGCTAATTGAGATTATTTACTTTCTAAGGACCTGTCCGTAATTCGAGGCATGTCGAATTGACCGACGCATTATCGCGGTCAGTTTACGCCAATTATTCGGCCGGACCCTCGAGGTCGCCACTTCTGAAATACGATCTTTTTCGTTTCTTTAACGACGCTTAGCCGACCGAAATTGGTTATTTAATATGAAATATATACAGAGCGGGAAAATTCCGTCATGTAAAAAAATCGATTATAAGATACAGAGCCTTCTTAAAGTCATCCCAAACACATCACTTCAAATCTTCATAAACGCTCTGTATGATTATTAGAGACAAGTATACCTAATCTCAACTACCAGTTGCTATTTAATTACTATTTTGTTAGCATAATTTTTGATGTGAAAACCCAACTAATTTTGAAAATGTGCAAGTCAAAATAACGCGTGTTTGCAGAAATAATCTAAAACGTA